AAAGTTTATTTTTTTGTTTATTTTTTTGTCCCTTAATACATGATTGAAAGCATATTGAAATCCTTTAAAATTTTATTTCTAGATAATTCATGTGTAGTATATTACATTCATTGGTTTGGATTTTTTACTTTTGAGTTCCTATTTTTAAATTTGGGTTGATAGTATTCATGTTGGATACTATTAATAATAGCATAGCTTATATATATGTGTGTGTGTGTGTGCGCGTGCGCGTAAGAAAAGTTTTCCTAAGGTGGCACCTTAGGTTCAATCCTATGTAGCACGAACACAGATACGGAAATGGGACACGACAAATTAGTAAAATGTAGGATACAGGTACACGGTATATAATACACACACATGATCAAATATTGAATGAAAATATCAATAACATTTGTATGTTTCTTTCTATTAACTATAACAATTAAGAATCAAATTAAATCAAACCAAGAATAAGAATTAACAACAAAAAGTTCAGTTTTGACCAGATGAGATAATACAATGAGTTTTTTTTTTCCAAATATTTAAGTAACGAGTTTCAGTTTTTGGGTTAAAAAACAATTGGTTTTGAACCTGACAAGAGAAAGTAGTTTAGGCTGTAAGTAATAGGGAAATCCAGTTTTTCATTGAACCACAAGTGTCCATGGAGTGTCAGCGGAGAGTCAGTGTCGAACATGTGCTGGACATGGACAGGCCACCAAAAACAAAGTGTTCGTGTTACTTAGGTACAATCTAAGGGAGCACCACTTGATGCATGGATTAAACTATTATGAATAATCCACTCCATTCATTATGATCTAAAAGTTTCAAAGCATCTATAAAATAAAAATCATTATGTCAATACTTCTAACACATTTTTAATTGTCTCTTTAGTTATATTATCGTAAAACCGTTAATTTTACAATCCCTTGATGCATGAGTAATTATAATCCAATGTATCTAATTTACTATCTGTATACCATCCAAAATATATAGATTAATATGAACGGAGTGGATCAAAGAAATTGATTGTATATCTACTTTTTAACAGGTAGATATAACCAAGCTAGTTATGTCCTAGGAACATATAAGCATTCCAAAGAATAAAGATCAAAATGAACAGATTAGATCAAGCTAATTGATTGCATATAACGTTGTTTTGGAGGTGGTTCCTTAGATTGAATCCAAGACATCACCTTAGGAATACATTTCTATATGCAAACATATATATAGGAAAAAATAGGAATTTGGTACCAAGCACAAATTTTGTGCTTGGTAATGACGTGTCTCATTCGCATCTACTCTCCAATCCATCTGAATGTGGTCCCCAATTTGAATGAGTGGATGAGAATGAACCAGCTCACTACCAAGCACAAAAACTTATGCTCGGCACCAAGTTTCTTTATATATATATATATAAATTAGAATACACCCAGGATGTAATTGATTTAGTTACATTCACCTGTAAAAGTACATGTTTGGCCATCTATATTGTAAATTCAAGCCGGTTTATGTTATCATATCTAATGGATCCAAAATCATGTGGTTTGGAATTTTCTATCTTATAAATAAGCGACATTTTAAGCTTGATACAAATTGTTTTTTAGGTCATTAGATCTATAACCTAGAAACATTTAATTTATGTGATTTTTTGTCTCCATGTATCTTAAATGTATAGATCACAATGAACGATGTGGACTATTAATATTGATGGTCAAATATGTATTTTTACTAGTGAGTGTAAATAAGTAACGCCATATCACCATGAGTATATATATGCGAAAAAATGTAGGAACTTGGTACCAAGCACAAATTTTACGTTTGGTAGTGAGGTATCTCATTCTCATCCATTATATAACCATTGTGAATGTCGTCTCCATTTGAATGAGTGGATGAGAATGAACCACCTCACTACTAAATATAAAAATTTGTGCTTGATATCAAGCTCCTTAATATTGCTCTCTCTCTCTCTCTCTATATATATATATATATATATATAGGGAGAGGTTCTAATAAAAACCTCTTTAGCCTAAAAACTAAAAACCTCCTTCATCCAATGACTAGGATTCAGTCAAACAGTCAACAGACAAATGCATTAATTACCTCATTAAACACATGTATTAATTACATCAACTCAGTTAATCCAGATTCACTATAGTGAATCTGGATTCACTGCAGTGATTCGAGATACGTTGAGGTAGTGAATCTGGATTCACTACGTTGAGGTAATTAATGAGGTAATTAATGCATGTGTCTGTTGACTGTTTGACTGAATCCCAGCCATTGGATTCATCTAGATCCAATGGATGAAGGAGGTTTTTAGTTTTTAGGCTAAGGAGGTTTTTATTAGAACCTCTCCCTATATATATATATATAATATATATATATATATATAATATGAAATAATGGGTATGAGACTGACAACTCGTTTTGTTAAATGAGTTACCAAGAGAGCCATGGGGTGAGACCCACTCTAAAAGTCACATCACATGGATATGCCTAATCAATTTTCTCTCTTGATAGTTCGTTTAGCAAAATGAGCAGCCACCTCACAACCATCAATCTCATACACACACTTACATATAAAAGTCCAGGTGAGGACAATTTAAAAATTAAGGACTGAAGGACATGCTCTTCTTTCAATTAGAGTTGATAGGGTAAAAAGGTAATTTTACAAAACATATCTTTTTGGCTTTCCTTTTGTCTTTTTGCTTTTTCTTGGACATTCAAAACGATATTATGCCATAAATGTTGCGTTCGGGTCTACATCATTAAATATATGTCATATTTTAAGTTAGAAAATATATAGAAGAGAAACTGAGAAATTCCTTTTGTTGCAGCATAATATCGTATCTAAATTCCAAGAAGTCAAGAAACTTATGCATGCATGTTTAGAATTACATCTACAATTTAACTGATCAAATTAAGGGACAAACAAAAAATAGAATAAGAAATTATAAATAACAAGTATGTTCTAGTAAATTTTGACTTGGATACGACTTGAGATGACTATAGAAAGTTTTGAATTCAAGTCTCCATATTATTTTTCATCTAAGAAGCAGAAAATATATCCTAAATATATCTTTAACTACAGACTTATTTGTTTAAATGAGCAATATGTAAAACTTTTTAAGAGGTAGATGCATGTCAACCCCTCATCCAAAGATGCATAGTTCAAAGAAAAAAGATGTCACATTAGGTGTACTTTCATCCAACTAATCTCACCCACATCTATGGTTGAGATTTCTCCACCTTGTTACCAAGGACCAAATTTCACCCTTGATACCAATGATACTCATATTCTGTCTATGTGTGTAGAAAATAATAAAATAAGATGGTGAGATAAAATTCTTATCGCGAGTTAGCCCACTAGGCTACCTGATACGATGATTGGCATCGTTCATCCTAATTTACACCCCGCATGATCAATATTTAGAAAAAACCATATCATTTAAATTTTTTAATCATATGTGCAAAATGGACGTCTATTAAGCTGTCTGAAAAATTAACATTTAAACTAGATTTATTCCTGTTCTAGAAGATATCAAACTTTATGAAAATTTTATCATATATATTTGATGGTGTTTTGAGTGTATGGTGCTGATTTTGAATTTGATGAACCGATTAATCTAGCTCACAATAAGGTTTAAGCTCATCAACTCACAATATCATCACACACTCTCTCTCTATGCGCGCGTGCGTGTGTGTGTATATATATATAATATATATATATGAGATTAATGAGTATCCTTGTTATAGGAGGAGATTTTCCTCATTGTCGCCTATGTGGCACAATCGATTTCCTTCATTGTCATCTATGTGGCACAATCCCCACCATCCTCATAAAGTAGGAACAAATCTCTACCAACTCACATACTCTTTCCTACTTTATGAGGATGATGGGGATTGTGCCACATAGGCGTCAAGGAGGAAAGGCTTATTTGTTCTTAGGGTGAAACTAGCTTAGTTATACCCACTTGAAAAAAATGCATATTATGCATCGAAATTAGATGATCAACTTCACATCTTTAAAGGTCTATTAATAAAAAAACATGTATGTTGCGCACATCTTACACATGCATAAAGTGGTCACAAAAATTAACGGTTTCTCACAATACAACAAATGAGATCTCTTGATGCATGGGTTAGAACACTCTAATAGGTGATCTATTCCGTTCATCATTATCTAAAATATCTATAAACCAAAAATCATGTTGTTTCAATACTTTTAAAATATATTTTTCATCATTTCTTTAGTTATGTTATTGTAAAACCGTTAATTTTACAATCACTTGATATATGAATAACTGTAATCCAATGTATTTAATTCATTGTCTATATACCGTCCAAAATATATAGATTAATATGACCGAAGTGGATCAAACAAATTGATTGTATAATATATATTTTTTTACAGGTGGGTCTAACCAAGCTAGTTATGCCCTATAGGTGTATACACACACACAGAGAGAGAAATATAAGAACTTGGGACCAAGCACAAATTTTGTGCTCAACAGTGAGGTGTCTCATTCCTGTCCACTCTCCAACTCACATGTATGTGGTCCCCCATTTGAATGAGTGGATGAGAATGACTTCCAAGCACAAAAACTTGTGCTTGGTACCAAGTTCCACTATATTGCTTATATATGTAGAGTAGAACTTTTTGTCCCGGTGTAAAATTCTTCCATATTATTGAGTTATCATGAGAAATCTTGATTTTCTCTTTGTAAATTTTCATGTTGACAGACAAAAAGATAGACAAATAGACCTCTCTTTTCCAACAGCTGCAACCTTTTCAATGATGATATGCTTTAAACTTGATACTTTCTTAGTTGAAACCATGTAAATCAAGTAATAGACTAACATTATGATTTTACCTCTATATCAGATAAGCGCATAACTTTATACCTATAAATGAGTAGTTAAAAACATACTACCGCGTATAAATGGATGATATATTACATACGGATTATGGCAATAGAAAATTATGAGTCATCGCTGATGTTCTATTTGTGCATCTTCAGCAAGAGCGGAGCTGCAGGAATCTGGTGGTAATTTAGCCGCAGATGCTTTTGCAAATGTTAAGCATGTCCTTCTTCCAATTACTGACAGGAATCCTTATCTTTCGGAAGGAACAAGACAGGTAAATTCTATCTCATATGCTGTCCTACCTATCCTGCTGATACTAAAACAGTTCTATAAAACAATTATACACTCGTGACCTTTTGCATTCGAAGATACTAGATCGTTACTTATTATTGGTTTTACATTTGACATCCATGCTTATGATAACCTTGAGATTGTCACTTTTCATGTAGCTCTTTGTTAGTCAGAAGAGCTTTGCTTCATTCCTCCCTTATAGATTCAACAACAGCACTAATGTTCCTGTGTTCGAAGAATGCAAAATTATTGGGCGAAAATAGAATATCAATAATGCTGATTATCTAACACCTTTTCCAATATTTAAAGGATGAATAATCATCATGATAATAAGATTAAGGAGGATGTGGTTTATGGAATATTGTTAGAATGGTGACCTCTAGGTAATGTCACAATATGTGATGGGGGTAATTACGTATTAGTACCTTAAATCTTCTTTAATTGCCAAAAGGTCCCTCAAATCTCAGTATTTGCCAAAAAAATCCCTCTAATCTTCATTTTTATTTCCAATTTGTCCCTCTGTTAGAGGTTCTGTTAAATTTTCTAACTGCAGTTTGGTTAAGCCTTAGCCCGACATGTAAAGTTATCCGAATGCCCCTTAAATCTTCTTTAATGGGTATAGTGAAGAAATTAGGGGATTATATAGCCTTTAGAGGGAAATTTAACCATTGGAATAGCTCTGGTTTGGGTTTGAGGACGTTATAACTGTTGAAGAAGAAGGATTTGCTGGGTTTTGGGTTGCGGGTTTCGGGTATAAACCCATTGTCAGATGGTTGGGATATTTATATGTAGATATTAAGTATAGTGGGGGGGGGGGATAACCAGGAAATCTATGTATTTCTGTTTTTAATGGAAATTCAACCTAATTAATAACTTCTCCTAACCAGAGAGACGACTTGGCAATAAAAATGAAGATTTGAGGGACATTTACGCAATTAGTGAGGATTTCAGGGACATTTTGATAATTAAAGAAAATTTAAGGAACCCATATGCAATTACCCCTATATGATAATACGATGGCTACAAAAATAGGTGCTAAGTTTCATAAGCAACGATATGACTAGCCATGTGCTATGTGTCATCACGGTTTTGGTCATTTATGTCTTATTTGTAAATGTTGAGCACAATTGAGGTTAGAATTTAAAGCTAAAATATTGACAAGCACGAAAGAAAAAAGGGATAAGGCTAGTTGCTGAGGATAGATGCAGTCCAATCAATGAACGTTCTAACACTTCTATATAAAACGGAATGTTAGTCCATCTTCTTATGTTAGAATTAAAAGAAATGATAGAGGCACACTCTTAAGGCACACCACCAACCACACTCCCTCTCTCTACAGTGCAGGGGGCCCCACATGTGATTTTTTTAAGAAATCACATGTGGGCCCCTCTGCACTGTAGAGAGAGAGGGAGTGTGGTTGGCGGTGTGCCTTAGAGTGTGCCTGTAGCGCCTCTCTAGAATTAATATATAAAATGATGAAATGGGAAATTAACTTGTGACACTGGCGGCAAATAGTTACAGATCTTAATAGCGTTCTTGGGAATTTTACAGTATCCAAGAGTCGCCCGATGTGTGGTCCATCATTTCCTAGGTTTTTCTTGTATAACAGTTAAACTGGCTATAGCGCCTGTACAAGGCACGGGCTAGTGTTGTTTTTTATTTTATTTTATTTTATTCCTTGGTCTGCGCGCATGAGTGGTTCATGTAGTTTTTGAATATTTTGGCAAACAGATCGGCAATGTAGTCGTGACAGCTGATTCAAAAATTCAAATTGTTTTGTTTTGTTTGGGTTTGAATGGATTGGAAGCGCGGATTGTTACTGTAGTTGATACAGTACTTTCCATCCTTCTGCGTTACTTGCATAGTCATTGCCTTGATGAGGATTCTTGAATCCGTTATGTGATACATCTCTTCTCTCATCGGAGGCTTATGGTTTACTTTCATGTCTGCTAGGCAGCAGCAACCTCCACTGCTTTGGCCAAAAAATATGGAGCAGACATCACAGTGGTTGGTATGTTCATTTAACCTTCATTCAACCTGTTATCTTGACAACCTTACTGTTATAAGATACAGAGAATCGTTTTGGGCACAAGAGTGATCTTTGCTTACGGGATTTCAAGGGGTATAGTCTTCCTTGCAGTTATTGATGATAAGTCTAAAGAGTCAATCCCCGAGCATGAAGCCCAACTATCCAGCATCAGGTGGCACCTTTCTGAAGGTTAGTTCCGATTGGCATGTTCCGTCACACGCCCCGAAACAACACAAATATTAACCAATACTATTGTTTAATTGGAGCCGCTTTTGGGTTGTATGAGCTTCACTTTTTTGATTGGAAAAATGCCCCTCATATTTAGAAAATAAAAAGTAAATACCCTCACACTTGAAAAAAAATCGGTGGAAATGTCCTGTCGCCTCAAAAATCAATGGAAATGCCACTAAATTTTGAAAAATCTAAAAAAATAAAAATTTAAAAAAATACCAAGCTGCATGTTCCCTTGATAATTAGACTACAGCTCTCCCATGTTTCTCGCCATGCACACATCACATGCATCGGAGTACTAGCTATTGAAATTAATGCGTGTGGTAGCCTGCCACAGATCCTCTGAACAGGAAAACTTAAGGATGTGAATTCCTGTGTGCTCAACAAACATATATTTGCAAATATATGATATATATATACAACAACTTTAATACTCCGGATCTGAATTTTTGTAATTGAATTATTCATCTAATTGTCTAATCATAACATGTATAATCTCTGGAACTACATTATATATCAACTCAAAAACCTCCTTAACATGTATTGGAAGTCTTACCCAAACAAAATTGAGGTTTGTACATCTAATGGGGTAGGTGGCTGTATCTAGGTGGCTTTAAGGAGTTCAAGCTAATGGAAAAGCTTGGTGAAGGAAAGAAACCGACTGCAATCATAGGTGAGGTCGCTGATGATTTGGATCTGGATTTGGTTGTTTTAAGCATGGAAGCAATTCACTCGAAGCATGTCGATGGGAATCTGCTGGCAGAGTTCATCCCTTGCCCTGTATTGCTTCTGCCTCTCTAGAATTCTCAGCTACTTGATGCCATTTTATTTCTCCAGTGTTTTGAACCGAGTCGTTGATCTGGTTGATTTCCTGTTCTAAATTCGGTTCATCTTGTAGCATTTTTGAGTAAGTTAGGGTGCCTAAAGGGATTAAATTGAAATACTGGTGGCCTTAATAATTATTTACTCAATATAAAAAGAAGAGGAACAAAAAAAATCAATGAAGCAGATGTTTTGTTTGTGAAAACAGGAGGCATATTACAGAAGTATGACCCTATTTAGTTTTGTTGTGAACTATATTGGACAATTTGATGGCCGGGGCTGATCCAATTTTGATGCTGTTGTGAACTAGATTGGACATTTGACGATTTTGGTAGCAACAGGATATTGCTAGTTGAAAACAGAACTGTTATCTATATATATGCTAAACTTCAAATAACAACAGCCAGTAGCCCTCCAGAAGTTTTACATGCTAGTTGAAAAAGAGGAGTTACACGCCCTTATACCAAATCAGGGTGGTTTTACAGGAACTGACACATAAGGGTGTGTAGGTGCCATGTAATCCCTCACTTCTGCCTCTTACATATCCACAAGCTCCTGGGCAACAAGCCTCCAGCTCCTGTTGATGGAAGTCAAACACAGGTAAACATGCTCTTCAAGTTCCTGCAAGTGTTCTTCCAACCCTAACCCCATCTCTCCTCTTCTCTCCATCTCCTTCACCACCTCCCACTCTCTCTTCTCCACCACCATCCTCGCCATGCCCCTTCCGTTCTCAATGTCATCGTGCGCTGTCATCGCCATTTGACTCAGCGTATCCAAATCCCTCCCGACGATATAAGCTCCCTTCGCCGCAACATCAACCTTAGCTCCTATTCTCTTCCACCCTCTAAACCACTTTCCCGTTCTACCTTTCAAACTGATGCCAGCCGTCGCAACTGGCGCCACGGCAACTGCAGCTGCTCCATGCGATGCAATGACAACCATCGCGGCCACTGCTGCGCTTAGAGCGACAAGGGCCACATATGATGCGTTCCTCGTTAGGTGGTAGAGTTTCAATAACCGAGAGATCTTTTGATCAGCTGAGGTGAGGCTGCGGATCAGTGCGGGGTAGTGAGAGCGGATGGAGTGGAGGCAAGAGAGGGCTTTAGGGGAGAGAGGGTTGTCTAGTTTAAGGAGGGAGGAGAGTTGGAACAAAGCGGAGGGTGAGGAAGAGGGGAGGAGGCGGTGGATGGTTTGGTGGTGGGACCGAGCACTTTTGATGGAGGAGAGGAGGGAGATGCAGGCGGCAGTTGCTTGAGCGTTGGTTTCGAAGAAGTTGAAGAAAAGGCTGTTGAGATGGGTCAGTAATCTGCTGGAAGTGGAGTTACAGGAAGTAGCCACTGGGAGGAGGGATTCTTGAATAGATTCGAGGGGGAAGTCAGAGGAGGCATGGTCAGCGTTGCATAGGGGCGATGAGAAAGTGCGCTGTAGCGGCTGGGCTGGTTTGATATTGTACTCTTGCTGCTGGGAGCAGTAATAAGAGAGGTGGTGGATCGCTGTACTCGAATTTTAGGGTGGTATCTGGAGTAGACGTTGGCTAAGGACTTTGTGTGGAGGGCTTCGATGTATTCCTTGTCGACGAGGTCCGATGAGCTTCCGTTCTTGCTCATCGTCACCATCTGTTTCTTTGCTTCTTCTGATGATCTGTTCGTCATCTTTTGCCCACACTTTTCTTTGATCAAATCTCAAGTGACCCTTTTTGAACTTGGAGTACGGATCAACTAGAAGCCTGAGAGAGGTGAGATAAGAAGAAATGAACCCCTCTCTTGGTATTATTTACAAGGATAGGGGACTTCCCTCCCGTCTCTATTTCCTTTAAAAAGTTCATGATATAACATAGAAGAAAAAGTTTATGGATTTGAAATAGCAGCTAAAGGAGTGAAGGAAAAGCCTAGTGCCCGCGAGCATACGCTAACATATTCATTACTTATTTTCTATGGAATTGTCACTGCTCCAAATTCTTCTTCTTGTTTCATGCTGCTAATTAAAGACTAACTGTTTTCTCAGAGTAATAAATTAACAAATGTCCGTACGAAATAGCCGAAAGAAAATTTTGGCACGTTTCAGTTCATCCTGACAGTTCGTGATGCAATAAAAGAAAAAGTTGATGGAAGGCTGTGATATGACTTTGAAATAGCAACTAATAAAGAAAGGAAAACCCAAGTCCCCACGAGCACAGGGTGTTAAACTTTATTCTGGTGAAGTTTCCCTTGCCTTTATCCATGTTTTGTATCCTCTTAAAATTTCATAAAGGTTGGAAGTTTAGAATAATCTTTAACTCGCTGAGGGTAGGATAAAAATGGGTGATAAGTTTAGGCTTGATTCAGCTAATCATGTGGAATTACAAACTATCTCAAAAGAAAGTTTCAAAACTTACAAAAAGGCACTAAATATCCAAAAATAACATACATCTACATGTAATAGAAAATTACAAATGTTATGGTGTTTCTAGTTGCCAAAGTGCAGTCTTTTGCCAGCAGCAAACATGTGTCCTTCTACATGCATTGCTCAAATCAAATTGATGGTCAAGATTAAGGATCCTGATTTAGCTAACTCGCCGAGTCGACATCTTCTTGGGTTGACTCGAAGGGCGGTACTTGTCGGTCCTCTTGTTAAAGACGACTCGTTACGAGCCCACTCGACCAATTATTCGACGCTTTGCGAGGTCGATTCGAGAGGTGTTACTTCTCGACTAAGCTAAAGGACGAATTCAACCTCGAGTCTCACCTACTGACAACACGTCAGCATCGCATTAAATGCTTGGCATACGTCATCATTCCTCTAGCCCCAGTAGTATTCATGACTCATCAGACTACGTCAGCATCACCATGCCCCCATTCACTTCGCATTTAATGCTGAGGGGACCTCTCATCCACTCGTTGACCGACACCTGTAAAGTAGGTGCTTACATAGCCGCCAGCCCATACTCGTTTGTCGTCATTCTGTGCTCGGCTGAGATTACCATTCTACCATTTCTCTACCAGTATAAAAAGAGGTACTATTCCTAATACCAGGGTAAGTAAGCAATCTCTCAAATATCGACTGCACTACACTATAGAACTCACACAGTTCATTACTTTCAAACTCAAGTTCATCAACTGACTTGATCGTCAGAGGAACAATGGTGGAACTAGTTCGCGTCCTAACGAATTGCTATTTGTGCAGACTGAAGCTACTCAACTCAAAACGAGATATTCGGAGAAGTGAGCGGCCCCTAATCAACCTCACCCCTATTATAATTACCTGTTTTATTATAAACATCAACAACAAACAACCCCTGAACAACTCTAAAACTATAAAGAACACCCTAAAAATTACAACAAACACCCTAAAACGCTCAAACTTGCAATACTACCCCAAAATTCAAAACTTGCGAACTAGCCTTTGAAAGCTTTTGTAATTTGCAGAAATCATCCTGAAAGTTTGAAATCGCAGAAAACATCCTAAAATCAGAATTTACAAAAAAAATCCTCAAAATTTTGATTCTACAATGGTACACTAAAAATCTAGGAATTATACAAAGTTCCCTTGAAAATTTTGGAATTTGCAAAAAACACCCTAAATTTTTTGGAATTTGTCAGTCGAATCAAATCGGGATGGTTAAAATGGAGGAGCGCTTCGGTAGTATTGTGTCATCATAGAATACCTGTTAGACTTAAGGGAAAATTCTATAGAACAGTTATAAGACCAATAATGCTTTATGGATCAGAATGTTGGATAATTAAAAAACATGTGCAAAAAATGAGTGTAGTCGAAATGAGAATATTGAAATGGTCTTGTGGGTATACGCTAAAAGATGAGATATAAGAAATAAGTGCATTCGTAGTAAATTAGAGGTTGCTCCTATAAAGAATAAAATGGTAGATAATCGATTACGTTGGTATGACCATGTACAACGTAGACCTCTTAGTGCACTGATTAGGAGAAGTGATAATATTATAGCTGGGGAGCAAAGTAGAGATAGACCTTGAAGGACTTGCTTGGAATTAATTAAGAAGGATATGGTTATGGTAGCTTAACGGAGGAGATGACCCATAGTAGAACAAGGGAAGAATATGATTCATGTATAAGTCGACCTTAAACACTTAAGATAGAGGCTTTGTTGTTGTTGTTGCTACATAAAACATCCTGAGACTTTCAAAAATTGCAAAACAAAATTCATAAAATTCAAAATTTATAAAAAAACACCATGAAAATTTCAAGGCTACAAACACTACATTAAAAATTTAGAAATTACAAACAACCTCCTGAAAATTTTAAAATTTGTTGAGAACCCCTTGAAAGTTTCAAAAACTACAAACAACATCCTTAAAATTTAAAATTTACAGAAACACCCTGAAAAGATCAGAAGATTCAGAACTAACAAACAAGTATTTATTTTGAAAATTTTGAATTTTTGAGTCGTAGTTTGAAAATTTAGGGTGTTTTTTTAAATAAATTAAATGGGTTTATTTGGTCGACCATTTAATAAAAGTGCGGGTGAGGTGTGACCCCTTAGAAAATGTTAAATGAGTCATAAGTGGTCAAATGGGCATAAATGTGTTTGCCCATATAGGACCCGTCCACACCCACCCATACCCACTCATTTAGCATCCCTATGTGGCTATGTTAGATCATGATCTTTCAAACACTTTAAGGGATGGTTCTATTCCAAAAATAATAGGAATCACCATTTCCACGTGGAACCCAGAATTAACAACTTAGCATGAAAAAAACAAGAGCTTTGATTAGAACTAGCAAGATGTGGGCTAGAACTGGTGGGATACAAGTTAGAACTTGTGGGATATGGGCTAGAACTAACGTGTAACCTATAATTAACAACTTAGCATGAAAAAAACAAGGGCTTTGATTAGAACTAGCAAGATGTGGGTTAGAACTGGTGGGATACAAGATAGAACTGGTGGGATGTGGGCTAGAACTAACGTGGAACCCAGAATTAACAACTTAGCATGAAAAAACAAGGGCTGTGATTAGATCTAGCAAGATGTGGGCTAGAACTGTTGGGATACAAGTTAGAACTGGTGGGATGTGGGCTAGAATTAACGTGGAACCCAGAATTAACAACTTAGCATGAAAAAAACAAGGGTTTTGATTAGAACTAGCAAGATGTGAGCTAGAACTGGTGGGATACAAGTTAGAACTGGTGGGATGTGGGCTAGAACTAACGTAGAACCTATAATTAACAATTTAGCATAAAAAAACAAGGGCTTTGATTAGAACTAGCAAGATGTGGGTTAGAACTGGTGGGATACAAGTTAGAACTGGTGGGATGTGGGCTAGAACTAACGTGGAACCCAGAATTAACAACTTAGCATGAAAAAACCAAGGGCTGTCATTAGAACTAGCAAGATGTGGGCTAGAACTGGTGGGATACAAATTTGAACTGGTGGGATGTGGGCTAGAACTAACGTGGAACCCAGAATTAACAACTTAGCATGAAAAAAACAAGGGCTGTGATTAGAACTAGCAAGATGTGGGCTAGAACTGGTGGGATACAAGTTAGAACTGGTGGGATGTGGGCTAGAACTAACGTGGAACCCAGAATTAACAACTTAACATGAAAAAACAAGGGCTTTGATTAGAACTAGCAAGATGTGGGCTAGAACTGGTGGGATACAAGTTAGAACTGGTGGGATGTGGGCTAGAACTATAGTTTTGTGCCGACTTCGCACGCACTTTCTGATCGTCTCCAATCTCCGTTTTCGCCGATTTCTTCTTTGGTGAGTAGCCCTACATGTTGCCTATCACCTCCAATTTGTATCACGCTCTAACTCATTCTTTATATCTCTCGGTAACATCCGAAACATCGCTCGGCGGCAGCAGCGAGCAGAAAACAACAGCGCCGTGCCGACTTCGCGCGTGTTTTATGGCCACCTCCGGTCTCCGTTTTCACTACCGTCTGCGCCGGTGTGTAGCCCTTTATATTGTTTATCACACGGTATCTTTCTTTCATTTGGTCTCATTTTCTACCTCTCGTTATATTGTTTCGAATATCGCTCGGCGGCACCGTGTCAATTTCATTCATAGAGATACATTAATACACATTTTCGTTATTTCTTAATTACGATATTTCTCTTCATTCCCCTTCTACTCTACTTCTCCTTACCTTTCTTTTTTCTTCTTCTTCTTCTAGCTAATAGATTAATGCTCTGTGCGTCTCGGCCAGGACGACGAGCTTAATAAAGCTCTTAGTTTTAGAGAGAGGTGAGAGAGAGAGAGAGAAAGAGAGAGGAGATGAGAGAGAGAGAGGAGAGATGAGAGAGAGATGATGTGAGTGCTGTGTCAGAGAGGAGAGAGGATAAGGATAGTTTGGGAATTTTACTTTAGCTGACATGTGATAATTAATAAAAAGGGCCTGCAGTACAAAGTGTCACACTTCAAGGGGCTGATCCACATGGGGAAAAATATGAGGGGCTTTGTCACATGAAGTTTTTGCTTTTGGGGCCTGGACACATTTTTCCCAATTATATATATATATGTAGGATATTAAGGTTTAGAGTTAGGAAATTTAACCAAAAATAATTAAAATAAATAATTACGTGTACTTAAAAATTAAACTAATTACAGAATAATTATCTACAATTAAAAATGTACATGTTGAGCTAATACAACAGTTTATACGAAATAGTCGAATTATACACATATTATACAATTAAACAAGAATAATTAATAATAAAAATATATTTACTTATTTTTAAAATCAAATAATTATGGGGTAATTATCTATACAGTAAAACGTACAAGTTATACTAATACGACAGATAATATGTAACAATAGAAATAATGCAATAAATTATACCAAAAACACGTAATTAATAACACCATGTATTATATGAATTAATTTGTAATAATACTAATAATACAATATATTATTTAAAATATTACGTATTATACCGATAACTTAACAAATTAATTCTAGAAATTTTTACCGCACAAAATAAATTTATAAATATAAAATTTATTTAATATAAATATATAATCAGATTTTTAAATCATAGAAAATTGTAGAAAATCAAGAAAAATAAAAATACTCTTTTAAAATTATAATTAAATATTTTAAAATACTAAAAAATTATTTTAACTAGTATCAAAAATATCCGCGATCTCTCTTAGATCAAATTCATGGATATGTGATGGAAAACATTGATATGTTCACATACTATCGAAGGTAACACAAAATCAGTAACATAGATGAGAAATATTCATTTTACATAATGTTTACCAATAGAAAATTATATATTGTTTATATAAGCGACATCTGGAGAAGCTTAAGAAGGAAACAACCGCTAGGAATGCAGCTCATAATATTCAGAAAAGACATAAGAAAGAATTTTCTGTTTGGTTAAGAATCGATGTAAGTGTTTTATAATTAATTATTGAACATTCATAATATAAAATCACTTAAATATTCTTAAATTGTTTGGCTTCGGTTGAAAAATCAATTCTTGATGTTGCTACATTATCTGAGAAAATTATTATCCATGCACAACGCCCTTATCACAAAGTGAGACGTTTTAATGAGCATTTGGTCAATGGATATAAATTTCGAATGCTAGAGACCGATGATAAGAGGGTAACTCAGAACAGTGGGGTCATGGGTTTGTTTGCTCAATAATGTTTTTCAAGTATAAGAGATCAGAACCAAATTCTAGCGGACATACTATATTATGGACAATTAGAAGATATTGTTGAGGTAATTTACGGGTTTGGTAAACCAAACCAATGTAGTTACACCATGTTCAAGGTTCGGTGATGTCATGCAAAAAAGCAAAAGGATCACTATGGATTTACACTAGTCAATCTCCACCGAAAAGTATATACAGATGAGAAATTCATTTTTGCAGAACAAGCTGATCAGTGCTTCTTCGTGAAAGATCCGAGTGTCATGTCTGATTGGGTGGTTTTGTATAAGGAGCCAAGATCTGTTGTTCTTCCTAATAACAATGGAAAAAATATTGAAGAAAGTGAAGAAAATTATAATGAACCAATTGGGTCATCTAATGACGTTTGGCAAGAATTCTCTTACGCACAAAATATGGCGTTGGACGTAGGTATGAACTATATAAATTACAGTGCATTATCGATTTTTAGCTTATCATAATAAAAACAATAATTCACTTTATAACAACATACCTCATGAGCATGTATACGTATTTTTCTTAACTATGTTAATAATTGAATTTGCAGATGAGGAGGGCGAGGAGGCTCTTTGGCCTAGGGAGTGATCGATCATGGTGTATCACCCCATGTACTGGTAATGATGATACACCTCCATCTCTGGATACAGGTATAATTTTATAATTAATATTTTAAATATCTTATAAATTATTCATTCTATCTAACTCATAGTGTTCATTTGTTGCAGATGCCAGTTATTCATCACCCAACCCCTCTGATACAGCACCAGAACCATCCCCTGTCGTAGGTATTCAATATTTAATTATTTATAATGGTCAATTAAAAAGTCATATTAATATTTCTCCAATCTTATGTAGCTGCTTCTTGGACCCCGACGTATCCATCATATGCATTTCATACTGACTTGCGGCCGATGACCCAAGACTATCTTAATTTACCACTACCTCCAGACTCTCATAGGTCCATGGCTGAATCAAGGAAGTACCACCCACGTGCTGCAAGAAAGTTAGAAGAAATGCTTCCTCTGTTGGAGACTAGTAAAGCTGCTGCAATTGCCACAAAAGAAAGAGAAATAGCGAATGGTAAATTATTAATAATGGTTTTAATTTCCACATTTATAGATATATTGATATATTATCATGTTATTATTGTAGGTGCTAAGTCAGATCGCATAGAGAAAAGACGTGGCGGAGGTAAACTTGAATCTAAACAACCTCCAAGAGGAATGAGGGCGATAATTCGTTGGAATAGTTCTAATTTGCCTGTTGGTCCCTGGTCGAGCCGATTGAATGCATATATTAGGGTTCTCATGCGTAGGGCGAATATCATCAATCCTTATTTTCATTTTCGAGAACTATCATGGACGGCATACGAGGCGATATGGACCGAGCTTATGGTAACTATATATTGCTTTAGTTTTTCATTTATTAATAATTAGTGATTGATATTACATGGTCCTTACTAAATGTGTTTGTAAATCTATAGGGCTGCTACTGCCTTGAGGACTTTGAGGGGGCTTGGCATTATGTCTTTAATGTTAAGGTTGAAACTGTCCTCAAACAATGGAGGCATGAGATCAAACATGAAACTTATGACAGGTATGAGAAGGACTGACAGAGGTTTTTAAACCTCGATGACCGAGTTGACAAGATTTATTTCAAGGCTCTCTTCATGTATTGGGATAGCGATGCCACCAAAGTTAGTCTCATGAAAATTACTTAATAATTTTAAATTATTATTTTATTATATATTCACTAATTTTTTTTTAAAGAATAAATCCACGAAGGGGTCCATAAATAGAGGAAAGAAGATGTATGACCACCATTTGGGCTCACACTCCTACGCCAATCTGGAGGATGCTTATTGTCAGGACACGGTATATGTCATTTAAAGCTTTAAATAATCTTAATGTTTAGTATGATTATGAAATCTCATAATTTAACGTATGATAGGGAAAATCATTAATGTTGATACACTTGACGGCAAAAGCGGCATATGATACTTTCCATGATAAATATAGGGGTGATAAGAAGAATCAGGATAAGATCAGGGAAAATCTCGAGTTGATGGTGAGACTTCTACATATATTGAGTAGTATTATTAACTCTATTTCTTTGTTAATATTATGAGGAAATGAGATCACAAATATTATGATTTTTAACTTGAATTAACTATATATTTGTGATTTAGAGTGGATTTGAGGCTGCATCCAAGGAGGCTGCATCTGCGCATATTTCGTAGGAGGAGGAACAAACCTAGCCGGATCCTCACATGCTTTCTACAGAGGAGAACATCACTCTCACACAGAACCTGATGGGTTATAACAGGTATGGATGCCAATAAAATCGAATCAATTTGAATACTACGTTCCTATTTAAATTTGTTTCTCCCTAATAATAGGAGAGGAAGATATCCTCTGTATGGAATTGGCGCTTCACCCGGCATAAGTATGAGATCATCCACAACATCCTCCACGCCATCTGCGTCAATAAGAACAGCCCCAAGCAGTTTCCAGGCTATGCCACTTGCCGCATGTATCTCTACGTATTTGATTGATAAGATTGACCCGGAGCTGCATATTCAGGTGACTAATGAGATGACTAGAGTTACGCTGACAGCGAACTCCATGGACGATCTCATGGGGTATGTAATACAATATTTAGGCGGTCCGATTCCTTATAGCGCGTATGGTGGTGTCATACGGCTCATAAGCTCGAGTTGTGATAATTCTGGCGCTAGACATAGCAGCGCACATGTACCTTATTTTTTGTTATTTTTATAAATTTATTTTTATTTAATATATTATCAAACACCACATAATCATTATTCAATTGAAATTTCAGAGTGGAGATATTGGAAGGAGCAGCACCCGTTCTCGTAACCGGGATAGAGATACCCTCGTCGACGATGATAGCTGAGGTTTTTTGCCATTTTTATTGCAATAAACAGTTTACTTTGTTATAACACTACATTTATAACACTACTTTGTTATAACACTACATTTATTAATGTCGTGTATCCTATCATATTCATGTATATTGTTAGTATATATGTTGTGGGATGTATATATTAGACGTAATTGGTTGATGCATATTATATTCATGTATATTGTTAGTATATATGTTGTGGGATGTATATATTAGACGTAATTGGTTGATGCATATTTTGGATTAGATGGTTTGAATTGTATATGTTGTGGGATGTATATATTAGACGTAATTGGTTGATGCATATTTTGGATTAGATGGTTTGAATTGTTTATGGTGTTGGAATTGTTTGGAATGATATTTTTTGGAATTTTGATTATTATTGGATGGTTGGATGTATTCATGTGTACAATATTATTGTGGGATGTATTCATGTGTACAGGGAAATGCAAATTGTAAATATTTTTTTTCCGGAAAAAGAACAAACTAGACGGAATTCCGTCTGGGTTGAACCAACCTAGACGGAATTCCGTCTAGGTTGTTGTAATCAACCCAGACGGAATTCCGTCTAGGATGGCTCAACTCAGACGGAATACCGTCTGGGTTGATAATCCAAACGAAATTCCGTCTGGGTATTCAACGTAGACGGAATTCCATCTAGGTTGATTACCCAGATGGAATTCCTTCTGGATCATTAACCCAGACGGAATTCCGTCTAGGTTGATGACCCAGACGGAATTCCGTCTAAATTGACAACTCAGACGGAATTTTGTCTAAATTGTCAACCTAGACGGATCTTTGAGTTCCGTCTAGGTTGAGTTCCGTCTAGATTGAATAATCTAAACGGAATTCTGTCTATTTTGAACCAAAATAGATGGAAACAGAATAAACTCGTCAGACTAGACGGAATTCCGTCTACACCTATCAACCTAGAAGGATTTACGATCAATCTAGACGAAAATTTCCGTCTAGGTTGATCGTATTTCTACTAGTGCTGCCTTCCTAATTTGTTGATGATATTGCCCACGTATCAGGGCCGGTCCTGAGATTTTTGGGGCCCTAGGCAAAATTAAAAAATGGGGCCCTTAACTGATAAACTATCTATTTATAACAAAGATATTTTATTGAAATGAAATGAATATAAGATTACAAAATTACTTAAAACAATTTCTTCGAGCATTATTTGATGCAAAGTCATTAATAATACAATCAACGTCTATGTCTTGTAACATCTCATTCTCGATGCTTAGAATAGCCAAATTGTTCAATCTTTCTTGTGCCATTGTTGAACGCAAGTAGGTTTTGACCAACTTCAATTTTGAAAAACTTCTCTCCGCTGTTGCTACAGATACATGCACAGTTAATAAGATTCGATAGGCAATTGAAACATTTGGATAACAATCAGCTTGCTTAACAAATTCCAAAATTTGGATTGCTGTCATTGACACTTCTGGTAAAGTTTTTTGTAGCACTCTTAATTTAGAAAACATATCATTAAGATCAATATCAGATGAATCATTATGAGATAAAACACATTCAAGATGATTGCAACAATTTCTTAATTTACTATCATCCAATGACTTCAAAGTATCTGAATCACATAAAAACCCAAAAATACTTTCAAATGTCTTTAGTTGTTCAAATCTCTCTTTTAATGAATTGATTGCCATATCCACAACAATTAAAAAATAATTAACTCTAAAAGACTCATCTGTGGATTGTATTTCTTCATCATGATCAGTTTCACCAGGTTGTTTTTTCCTAATGATACGACGTTTTGTTGGAAATGTAGGATCCACATTCATATCAAATGCAACACTTCTAGCAATATCCAAACTCTTCTCAAACCCATCATTTCTAAAATTTTCAAAATATAACATCACGTCTCTCACCTGATTCATAGTAGTGTTAATATTCATATTTTTATTTTGTAATTTTTTTGCTAACCATGTTAATAGCAAACAAAACATCATACCAAATAATCATACCAAGTAAAAATTCAAAGTTCTCAATTGCAGTGACCAAACTTTCAGCTTCACTCTTTGTTTTCGCATCTTCTGAAGTTTTATATAATTCTAACAAAGCCAATCTTATGTGAGGAGCTTGAAATCTAATGGCTTTTACACTTTTCACTCTACTCTCCCAACGGGTATTACACAAAGATTTCACAGTAAATGAAGGAACATTATCAATTAAAATCTTCCACCTCTTAGTAGAACTCGAAAATAATGAATATATACGTTGCACAACTCCAAAAAATGAGATAGCTTTAACACATGAATGTGCCATATCACTAAGAGTAAGATTGAGACTATGGCAAGCACATGGCATATATAATGCTCTCGGATTAATTTCAAGTAATCTTTTCTGAACACCTTGATGTTTACCTTTCATGTTAGAACCGTTATCATAACCTTGGCCTCTAATATCATCAACATCAAGATCAAGTAATTGTAATACACTTAACAATTCATTAAAGAGCCCCAGTCCAGATGTATCATCTACCTTCACAAATTCCAAGAAGTACTCTTCTATCTTTATTTGATTACTGGACATATTCACACAACGTACAACTAGGACCATTTGTTCTTGATGACTTATATCTGGAGTACAATCAAGAATTACAGAAAAATATTTTGCTTCTTTAATTTTCTTAATGATAGAGCTCCTAACAGCAAGGCCTAAACGAGAAATCAACTCATTTTGTATTTTGTTGCTAAGATAATGATAATGAACTTCATGATTTTGAACACGTCTAACATGCTCTTGCATTACTACATCAAATTCTGCAATCATCTCAATAAGTCCCAAAAAATTACCATTATTATTTTGATAAAGCTTCTCATTAGATCCTCGAAAAGCCAAATTATTCTTAGCAAGACATTTTATGACGGCTATTATTCTAATCAAAACTTGTCGCCATCGTTCTTTTTCCATCATAATTTGTTTTTGCAACTCATTATCAATTGTTTCATTTTTTTTCCCAACCTTAATCTTAGCTCATTCCAAGAGCTCATATTAGTCATATGCTCAATACTATTTTCATGGTCAGATAGTCTCTTGCCAATATGACTCCAATCTTTCAATCCTTCATTTGCCAATAAAGTCGTATTGCTATTAGATTTGAATAATTTACAACAAAAACAAAAGACTTTATCAACGAGTTTAGAGTAAATCAACCATTTTCGATCACTTATTTCTCCATTACTCAATTTTCTAGAATAATGTGCATATGAAAAATGCCTACGGTCTCCGTCTAAAGGAAAGTCAATATTCAATTCTCTGTCAAATCCCTTCTCAACTAAAATGTCTCTAGCTTTGTTATGTCGACCGGTGCGGTCGACCGAGAGCTCCATCGGTCGACCGCACCGGTCGACCGGATAAGTGTTTGCTTGATTTCCTGTTTTCGACCTGGATAACGGTCGACCGAACTTTCCATCGGTCGACCGAATTTTTCCATCGGTCGACCGACGGAATTTTCGGTCGACCGACAATATAGCCGTTGCTTTTTAACGGCTCTTTCTCTGAGCTGTTTGCTGGGGTTTTTGGTCATTTTGTTTTGGGGGTTTTTGCTGAGATTTCTAGTGGGTATATATACCCCATTGCTGATGTCTTTTCAAGTTGATTAAGAGAGTTTTAAAAACAAGTTTAAGAAAGTTTTAATCAAGGGTTTATGTTTGGTTTAAGTGTGTTTATAAGCTTTTAAGCATTTGAGTGTTTTGGTTTTGTGAATCACTTCCACAAGAGCTTGAGGAGATCATCTATTGGTGTTTGAGCATCCAACTCTTCTCCTTCCACTCTTGATCTATTGAGAAGTTTTCTAAACTCAATCTAGCTTCATATTTTATATTGTTTGATTATCTTTTTATTAAGCTAGTGTTCATATTGAGTTTAGTTGATTTTATTATCTCTTTGTTCACACACAACCTATTGAGCTTATTGTATTTACATTCATAGTATAATTTTGGGTTGTGAGATTAGTGACTTAGAGTTGTGCTTAATTGAGTTCTCACCTTGTTTAGAGAACAAATCATTTGATTTATATTGTGCTTATTGTGAGGATTCACTTGTAATACACTTGTACACCGAGAGAAGTGTGTGGTGAGAGACGGGGTCGAATCCAAGAGGAGTGGCGTCGGTTGACGTGCCTAGGGAGAGGTTGTAACCGAGCACTTGAGGAGGAGGACACGGGCTAGGACCAACACTTAGTGTGTGAGGTGTGATTACATAGTGATTGTATTGTGAGGTGTAAACGTTGTTCGGGTGAACGTAGAAAACCCGGTTATGATAGTGGAGATCTCCTCGAGGTGAGGAGCGGGGACGTAGGTCGTGGGGACCGAACCTCGTAAACATATCGTTTTGTTTGTGATTGCATTGGCGTTCTTATTCTTGTTTTCATATCTTATATCGCCTTTGTGTATTGCTCATCATATTACCCTATCACTTGTGTAGATTGTTTATTTTACCCTTGTGTTAGTTCATATATCCTTGCTCATATATTTGTAATATCTCATTGATAGGATATATTCATTTGTTCATATTGCTTATCCTAGCTTACGTATCTTGTGGTATTTTATACTTGCTAGGATAACTTATTAATTAGTTTTAATTGGCATTTAATCGGATTAGATTAGCATAAGACCCTAATCACCCCCTCTAGGGTCTAACATTAATAAGGCAATTCAATATTTCAATTCAATGACTAAGTTTTAGCTTATAAATATTATTGGGCCAGATTTTAGGTCATACAAAATTTAATAAACTAATGGTCCCTATAAAATTTTGGGGCCCCCTTTCAGCGGGGGCCCTGTGCGGTTGCGCCCCCCTGCCATAGCCCAGGCCCGGCCCTGCCACGTATAGGGGACTTAGGATGCATCCTAGATGCGCTAAACTTAGGACCACATATGTGGTATTTGTCGATGATCTTTTACTTTTTGCTAGTGGAGACAAAGCTTCAACTTCTTTGTTGCATGGAGGAATTAGGCACTTTGAAAATGTAACAGGTCCTGGCTGCTAACTACCCAAAGAGTGGTGGTTTATGTGGAGGA